TAATTGGGTTGAACATTTATTTTATATACTTTTTATATTATTAATCTATATATTATTTCATTGCACATTATTATAACATTCTGTATAAACAATTTAGAGAGATAATAAGATATTTAAATAAATTAAGATTTTGTTACGATCGATTAAAGGATTTTAAAATCACAGCTCCTTGCAAAATTAACTATCCTCTAAATGAACAGTGCGAAATTCCACTGAAAATTGTGGCTTAATAACTTTCATTGTATTGTAACAAATTTATTTATTAATATGTAAATAATTATAAATAATATATATATATATATATATATATATATATATATATATATACATATATACAATGATACTATTTCATTTTATTCTGTTTACTCTTTATTGAAGCAGTAAATATTTAGTGGAAGAAATATAATGAATTTCCATTTGAGTTTTTATTTTTTGTTTCATGACCGATTCCAGAGCGTGCAGCGTTGCCGGATCTCATTGACACCTCCAATCTCCCTCGTACGCTTCCTTCTATTCTCAATTTTATTATCTTTTTCATTTATAACATAATCTACCTCATGTCTCTTTTCTAACTTTATGCTTATTTTAGTAATTAATTATTATTTTAATTTATTTGTTATATATATATTTTGATTATTATTTATTGTTATTTTGCTTTTATTTATGTTATATTTTTTGTATATGTAGTGTGAATGTTATCCTACCTCACTAAAACTAATGTCCATGTGACAGATTGTTGTAATACTCAATAAATAAAAAAAAATAATATTTTTTTAAGTACAATTAGATCAGAGTATTACTAATTACCTCAGCTCATATATTTTATTTATTTTTAGAGGAGGGTAAGTAGCCAACTGATCAATTATAAGGATGAAACAAAATTGTCAGGAATTTCAGTCAAAATTTCTTTAATGGGTTAGGCGACATTTCGGCCCAAACATGTGAGTCATCATCATGGCTATCGAGGCAACAACTCTTGTTTTTGTTAGATTCTCTCAAAGTAATTATCGTTATGTAAATTACAAGAAAGCTTTCGGGCTGAAGCCTTATTAAATCAAAAATTAAATCCCGAATTAACGAGTCGATACTGGAATTAATTTATAGAATAAGATTCAAAATTAGCGCATAATAATGAGTGTGAACTTGTACAAATAACAAAAATGAGTTTTCAATTAAGATTAGGCAATTGGATAAAGAACAGGAAAATTACAATAAACTCAAACCTGAAGTGACATTTTTGTGCCTTTTTTAAAATGGCTTTATCATTGTGGTTTAACCTAGTATACAACCCATCTGAACATATTTTTTGATATCACGTTAATTACTTTAAGAAAACTTTATATTAAGCAGGAAAGAAAATTATTTGTTCTTTATTTTATGCCTTGTCAAATTCTTAATATAGGCAATCGAGACTAATTTCCCTGGTCAGTAGCACTTTATAGCCTAGTTGCCATACAAAAATTTTCTTTTTAAATATTCAACATCTTAATTCGAACCTAATGTTGCTAGATTCGCTGCTGCATGACCTCTCATTAATCTGATTCCAAAATATTCATGCCTGAATAATAGCTAATTTTTATTGTGACTTATGTTTTGTATAAAACAGCTGCCCCCAAGATTACAAGACTGGCAGTGGCCGAACTTTGATTTCCGCTCATTACAGCTTGCAAGTTCTCTTCGGCAGCTTTCCATTCCTTGAGCCAAGGGATAAAAGCGACCCGTGCCATCACATTACATCCTTCAGTAACCTTGTTGCAGGAAAGATCCATACAAATTATTAAATGCTGGGTTCATTAAGTTGTAATGGCACAGCATTTTTATATTATCTATTTTTTTTAATGTTTATATTATATTTTTTTTTTCCTACTCAAATCCATATGGATATAGGCCTCATAAGTTTAAGGTTCTGCAAAAAAGACGCACTTAACTACAATCATTTCAATCCAAAATGTTAAGACTAATAACAGCAGCCCACTGGTACATCCACAACAAAACTTTACGTACCGACTTACAACAGACTATCGACCAACACAAGCGTACTCTTTACTCCCGATTTCATTTTAAACTACACGGACATCACAACGGAGTTATCAACGAAATGGCCACAGCTGAAATGCCCATCAGGAGGCGACTAAAGAGGAGCTGGATGAGCGATCTTCTTTTCTGAATTAGGGAAGAAAACCAAGACCAGGAAGAGGTGCCGCTGGGTACTACTTTTGCTCCTGCCTAAAATGCCATGTTTTCTATGACGTCACATCTGCTTACTGTAAACATTATGACAGGTGCGGATACTAATATAAAGAGAAAAAAAATATTTTGAAGAAACCTACATACTTCCAAATATCCATAGCTCCCGCTATTACCTTTTAGATGGTCTAGTACATTTAGAAAACAAGCGTAAGTAATTTTAGAATACAGGTATAAACCGAAACTAAACATTTTTTGGAGAAAATAAATCTTTTAAATATACTAGATTTTATTATCGTATTGTGGCGTGTGTCCTTAAAAAATATAATAAATTGTTACTGGAAAGTATTACTCTCAATTCAGCCGAATCTTGGACAATTAAAGAGAACCAATCAAAAAGTTATCCCTAGAAATGGACTAGTGATTGGTGGCGAATAAACCGAATAGATAATTTCTTATTTCTCATCTGTATGGCTAATTAAATATATATATTATCTATATTGACTTGCGCAAATTGGTTCCTGAATTCTGCATGGCTTGGAGCGTCCCGGCCAAGTCTCATCGAGTAGCCAATGGTAGAGTGTACAAGTTGAGCTTCCTGTCGAGCAGCCAATCAGGTATCGAAACTATTCTGCCACATAAGGTTCCACTTCAGGGCACAAATCAACACAAGTTTAATTCATTTAACACTGTACAGTTATTAAGTGGTAACAGAAACTTAAGGGATTTAAGTTTTAAGTATCGTGGGTCAGTTAGACTCCTATGACATAACTAATTTAATGAAAACATTCAAACGAAACGAAAAGTTTTTTTTTTTAAACATTACAATGAGACTTTTTACTATTCTAAATATCTCTTTTTTTTTTTTCACGAACAGGCCTTAAAGACCATGCGAATACCATGAAGTTAATGCTTCCTCTTCTCCCATATGCCCCTCATGAGCTCCGCGTGCTTACGGTTCCTCTCCTCAGACCACGCAACACCCTTTCTGGAGCGCTTCTTGCCCGCAAGAACTGTTATTCTCTTGAGCGCCTTTCTGTACTCATCTCTGTCCAAACAATCTTGGTCTCTTAGCCCCACTTGGTCCATATCATCCTAAATCTGTTTAAAATACCCGCTTACATTCTTATGACTGTGGATGCGCTGAAAGATTTTACGGTTAAGTCTTTCAGGATTCATCCTTATCATATGGCCATAGAACCTCAGCCTTCCCACTCTAGCGTCAGTTTCTAGATCCGTTGTTTCTTTATATATTTCCTCATTTGACCTCAACCTGTATCCTTCAGGTGTTCTCCTAGGCCCATAGATTCTTCTGAGAATTCTTCTTTCTATTTTCAGAAGGCTTTCTAGGCTGGGAAGACAAGAAGTTTCTGTTGCGTAGAGTACCACTGGCTTGACGACCGTGTTATAATGTCGTATTCTGGCTTTTAGAGATAAGTTTTGGCGATTCTTTCCTTAAACCCTTCTCTCTCTGACCCATTGCTGAATATGATTTCTCCAAGGTATTTAAATCTTTGAGTTACTTTTATCGTTCCGTATTTGGTTTTAATTGTGTTCTTTTTAAAATTCGCGTCCGTGGTCATCCATTCCGTCTTCTCAAAAGATATCTGTAAGCCTGTTTTCCTCGCTATTTCCGAGAGGGTGTTTATTTGGGCAATCGCCTCTTCTTCAGTTTCTGATAAAAGTGCAACGTGGTCTGCGTATGCGAGACATCCAATTTTGACGTTATTGTTCTTAGTACCTAGGGTTGCACCTGAACTGTTGATTTTCCATAGTTCCTTTATGATCTTGTCGAGTACTACGTTAAACAGTATTGGAGACAACCCGTCTCCCTGTCTGAGACCCGTTTTGATCTGAAATGATTCACTGATATTTCCTTGGAATTTAACTTTAGATTCAGTCCCTGTCATCGTTAACCCTATCAATTTTCTTGTTTTTTGGTCAACTCCGTATTCTTTTAGTACTTCAAGTAGTGTTTTCCTATCTACCGAATCATACGCCTTTTTGAAATCGACGAAAGAAATAAAAAGGTTCTTTTTACTTTTAGTCCTGTAGTGTTTGATTAATAGCTTGAGGCTCAAAATTTGTTCTTGACATGATCTATTTTTTCTAAAACCAGCTTGGTACTCCCCGATTTTAGAATCTACTTGTGGATAGAGTCTGTTTAGTAAAGCCTTTGAGAAAATCTTGTAGGTGACCGGTAGTAGGGTCTCTTCTTATTATTGATAGGATTCAAAAAATATTAATTGTATCTTGCAGTTAATTTCTGTATCTTTTTCTTGAGTAGTTGTAGTCTAATTATTTCATGTGAATTATATTAAGTGAGAATAAGACGAGTTTTTTGTCTGAGATGAAATTATTTTGCTGTGTCTCAATCTTAATAATTTATTTTCCAGGCATGCAAATTGTTACTTCCTATTAGATTAAATTGAAAAATAATAAAATTGAATCGATAACAATAAATAAATCAAATTCACTTTCATTGTCCACTATTAAAAAACCTAACAAAAGAATTATTCCACATTATTAAATATACTCAAATGTCAGATCTATTGTTCAATAAAATCGAACAAATTGTGAGGACATATTGGTTTAGGGATATATTGACATATTTCCATACTATTTAATTTGTCACTTGTCCTCTTGTCAATATTTTATCTCAATTATTCGCACCTGCCAGCTGTTTTTTAAATATTTGTGTTAAATTAATCACTTAAATATTTAACTTTAGATATTATGTTTCTTTCTTATTTCAATTAAGTTTCACTTGGTTATACATGTGATTTATTTTTTTAAATTCAAAAAGTTTACATATCAGATGATATGATAATTTAATTAATTTGAATAAATGTAGAAAAAACTTTTGAAGGTATCAGGTGGTGGGGGTAGCGGGGTATATGAGGGCCAGGTACTCTTCAGCCCTCAGTATTGAATAGCTTTCGATCACGATGGTTCCTCCGAGTTCGGATCCTTTAAGCTCTTGCCTTCCTTCCTCCCAGGCAGCCAGGTACGGGAGTCAGGTCTCGGCGGAGTGCTCTGTGTGCCGTGTCCTCTTCGCCCTCGAGGCTGCTGCCTTCAAGCCCGACGTGGCCCCCGTCTGCGTCCACTGTATGCTGCAGCGGGAACCGGCGAGGAGTACCGGCAGAGAGGGCTCGGAAGAGGTCGAGAACATGTCCACCGACAGCGGCAAGCGCAAGAAGTCCTCCAAGAAAGTAACGTTCGCTATCGGCGGCAGCATCCAGTACCCGGGCCTCTCAGTGGAGTCCAAGGTCTCCCGCTGCCAGGCCTGTTCAGGAAACGTTACCATTGTCAGAACTGCCTCATCTCCGTCGTCGAAGAAGACGATGTCCGCGGGAGCGAAGAGATTGGTCAGATCCAGGACGAGGCCAAAACCTCTGCTCTGCATCAGCTGCTGCGGGAAATCTGCTGGCGAAGACAGCCTGCTCAGCAAGATCTTGTCCCAGGACCTGTTGTCCCCTCTCTTGGCAAAATAAATTGTTTCTTTTGTTAACACGTACAGTGATATAGCTGTGATAATTAACTGTAATTGTGTGATAAAGATTTTTACATTTGTATAGTATTTTTTAAAACTTTTTTGTACTCAACGTGATGTATTTTATATTTATTTTTAATTTTTATATACATTTTAAAATTTTTTTGTACTGACAATAACACAAGTTACCTTTTTTATATTTATATAGAACTCTGATGTATTTTACTAATTTTTTAAATATTATATAATTTTTTTGTACTTTTTTTACTAATAATGTTTATTTTACGAAGACGTAATTATTGATTTAATGCTTTTATGTATATTTATAGTCAGTTAAAATATATTAACTTTCGAAAAGGAATTGAATTTTATTTTCCTATACATTTCCTTTCCTCATGGTAAAACTATTTGAAATTATTGCATGTGTATACAGGTTAATAACAACTAAAAGAATTACTAAATATTGATTGTTTTGGAAATCGATGATTTTCCTAAATACAGTGGTATAATTGATAATATTTTCATGTTCAGCAAAAATAATAAAAAATATATATAAAATAGGTTAAAGAATTTAGTTTGCTTTAGATAGTAAATGGTTATGGTTGTGTTAGCAGAGATATGAAATATAACTGTCGTCCGATTTCCTGGAGGAATGACAGAAACTTAAGTTTTGTATTTTTTTTAAGTTAGTCACGTTTTTGTTAGGTGAGAAAATACTATAAAAATTTAATTTAGATAATTAATAATTATTTCTTAGTAAACTAGAAGAAATTTTCTTCAAAATAAAGAGAGTAGGGTTCATCCTTGTTAAAAGAGAACTGTTAAGGGGATAAAATAATCATAAGTACAGTTATCATAAAATCATGGGCTAATTTCAAACTAATAATAATAATAATAAACAAGTATGAATATTGCGAGTTACAAAGTAAACCCCCGAACACGGGGTAAAAGAATTATATTAATTTATCTATTCCATTCATGCGAAAAATTAGTACATGGATGGAAACAGAGATGTATAGCTTCAGTTTAGTGAAAATTTTTAAAAATTACCGAAGAGAATCAGTGCAAAATACTGATAATCTGTCTTCAAGTAACCCCGTTTTACGATATAATTGTCTATTTTTACAAATTTCTTTTGACTGATCATTCCAACTATTCTTTTATCAATTTTTACTTTCACTTACCTATATATGTAATAATGTACAGTAAGGGTAAGTATTGAGATCGTAAACATTTTTGAATGAGTTTTCAAAGGAAATACACGTTTTGAGGACCACTGAGTCCAAATAATCAAGTCCCGCAAAATGGTCTCAGTATCTGTCTATGTGTGTGTGTGTTTGCGTTTACACAGTCAAAGAAAAGTCATACGGAAATGAAATTGCATATTTAAGGTTTTTATATGCTACGGATGTTACAGCAGCTGTTGTGTCAAAATCGGCTAATCGGAAGTGGTACTTTATGTAATGGACTAAACACAATTTTACGATTATCTAGATAATCGCTCTAACGATTTTGATTAAATTCATCATACCAGTGTAAAATTAAGCAGTTTAAAATAAAATGCGGTTATTATTCTGATTGATGTCCACTAACAGGGCTTAAATGGCTAATTTTCAATATTAGTTACCTCTAAAGTACCTTTAATTTTTTTAATTTGAAATAATTGACCATTTCACATTAATTTCTAATATGAAAAATGGTTGAATATAAAATATTTAAGAATTTGATAAATAACAAAAGGAGAAATAAGAGATTCTAATTGATACTTGTAATGAAAGAACTAAAGGAATACCAGCTCGCCCGAGCTCGCCAGAAAGATTAGTAGACGCTTCCATAGGTAACATCAACATAATATAGTACGGACTCCGACAATATTATATAAATATACATATGTGGTTTACGTAAATGCTATTGTTGGTATTATTTAATATTTAATTGTATATAGATTACAAGGATATAAATATTAAAATTATTTGTATATATACTTATATAGTAGTAGAGGATACTTATACAAATAAAAATACCCACAATGAAATGTATATAAATATACAGCCTATAATTTTTACTTTCACTTCGGTTTGTCGGAAAATACTTATTTCTGCTAACAATAGGGTGGTAAGTAAAAGTTGTATGATGCGCGCACCGTATCAGATTTAAAAAAAAAAAATAATGGTGACGGATCTTGACGAATAAGGTATCAATAGAAAATAAAATAATACGTAGAATGCACGAATCGTGTAGAATATTAATTCACATGTATTATGTAATATTTATTTATCAATATTCCTGAATTTCATACCAGTGATAAAATAAAAGTGAATGTAAAAGTGGGAGGTTTCAAACCACTTGATGTTTCATCTCAACGAAACGAAACAATTCATAATTTGCAAATATCTCGAAAAGTACACAGTTTTTGGTGCATTATACGTATTGTATTTGAAAGTTAGTAAATACCTTACAAAATGTAAAAAAAAATTCATCGAAATCGATAACAGTTAACTCTGTTTTTTTTTATACCTATTTTCGGTTTATATTACTCAGAAGGGCTCTATTACGTCAAATGTATATATGATATAAAGCTACAGTATAAATAAAATGTTGAAATAGAACATATGAGTATTTGAAAGCTTACTTATTTGGCTGTATTGTGTTGTGTTTGTTGTACTGCAAAGATTCTGTTGCAGCTGGGAATCGGAGTTTAAGATGTTGGAAATTCGGCCTTTTTTTATTGACTACACCACAGAATTTATCGGTTAGTATCAATCAGTAGCTATTTACAATTTTTTTTTAATTAAAAAAATATATTTTTTTAAATTAAGCAAATTATTAATTTTATTTTTATTTATATAAATATGTCTTAAAAGCTCTTTGGAATGTTTGACAATGTGCTTTAATTACATTAGCTTTTACTTTTAATCTTTATTATTAAAGTTCATCATTTTGAAAATACACATTCATTGTTTTTTTTTTTTTTTTTTTTTAATGATAAAGCAAGTTACATTCTGATTAGTCTAACTATTCCTCCCGAGAATTTGAGCCTTTCTTCTTTTGCCGTCATCGGATGTTATAGTAATGTTTAGAAGGTTTTGTTAATATATGATAATCCAATGAAGGAAAAAGCTAATATTTAAATTATAAGTTCAAGGAAACACAACAGTTAAACCGTGGCAGAGTGTAAATCATTTTTATCAACTACTAGCTTACTAAATAAATGTATCAAAACTTTGTGTATCCTTAATGTATTAAAATTCGATGTAAATATTAAGTTTGTGTGCGCACGGGTCAGCTGGCATTTATTAAGATGAAGAAGTGAAGATGAGCGGAAATTATGCCTATATGGATCATTACTAATCAGAATTCTGGAGTTCGGTCGCCTCCGGAAAAACTCGACTACTTCGGTCTTCCAAAAAGAAGTGTTATCGAAGCGCAATCTATATGGAACATTTGGAAACTGGTGTCAACATGTTTTCAAAATACTTATACTGATTGCAATATATTACTTCACTAATTTCGATGACCTTGGGGTTTTACGCCTCTAAGCACTAAATAACAACTTCTAAAATTTATAATTTTCTCTCTGCAAATACAAAAAACATTTTTCAATCTTATGAAATATCTGACGTAATTTATGAATTACTAGCTGATGTACCCATTGTTGAAGGGTGTGTAGTTAAAATTTGAAAATCTTTCTTTGTGACGGATTTTGTATTATGGGGGAAGGAGGGTCCAAATTAAAATTCATGAAATAGGGTCGGGAGGGGGGGAGGAGGGTTGTTTTGAAATTTTTATGGCGGGGCTAATGGAAGTCAAGGTTTCGCAATAGTCATAACAAAAACTTTGTTATTCAGCTATTTGTTTAGGTAACACACAACTTAACCGACCACCACCGATCCATTAAAAATTTGTTAGAATTTTAAGTCAAGCAAACCTAAAGATAATGACAAAATTTCAAAAGTCTACAATAAGCCATTGTTGAGCTTATCTCTGAAAAAATTTCGTTGCATTGCGGACATACAGACAGACAAAATTTTTTTAAAGTGGATTTGATGCCAGCAATGTATGAAATGGAAAGATATCATAAAACGGGTTGATTCAATTCATCGTACAGACCAAATCTTTTTTTATTTATATAGATAAATGATGTTTTATTCTAAAAAGAATCTATTATTTGCTAAACGACATGTCTATAATTTCATTAAATTATTTCAATAAATTCTGTCGTGAATAATGGAGAGAAGAATAGTCGGTGGTGGTCAGTCAAATAAGAAGACAAAAATAAATGATACTATTATCATCAATAAAAAAAATATAGTCAAAATCATAGAATAGTATCATTTATGTTTACCTTCTTATTTGACTGATCACCCCAACTATTCTTCTCTCCTTTAAAATTTATAAAAGAAAACCCTTAACAAAACATTTCTAAAAAATATCATGCACTACAAATCAAAAATTTATTTCATGGCTGAAAGTTCTGATGAAGCCTTCTTTCTTCAAGTTCACTGACAACCGTGTTTTTTTTAAATCAGCCAGATTTCGATTTAAATAATACTATATAATATAATTAAATAATATTTTATAATACTAATTTAATATTTAATAAACTTGACACCTAAACGACCAAACCATTCTAGTGAAACTTGACCAAATTGTGTTTTTTGTCTCAAAATCTGAAATATACTGTTAAAAAAATATCATGCATTTTTTAGTTTAAAAAAAATTAATCGCAATAATTTAAAAAAACAAACAAAGAAGTGAGCGTAAACGCCGAACATTGTTTATAGAGATGCTACAGTTTTTTTTATTTTTTACTTTTTTATTTTCACCTTTAATGTTTATTTTTTAAGTGCATATAATCATATTTCGAATATTTTTGGAAATTTAATCAAAAATAAGCTCGGTTGTGGATCTCAATGGCGTGGTACTTTGGGTACAGCTCCGCTGAAGTGTTCAACTAATCAACTATATCACATTTATCACAAGTTTAAAACAGAATGAACCGGTACAAACCGAACGGCGCCTGAACTGAATTGAACTAAAATGGCGACCGAAGCTGGGAGCAGTGACTAATGCCACCTTAATCAGAAGAATAATGCTATCCGA